AGCATCGCGATCGCGCGTCGCCACGCAGCTTCTACAATTGTACGTGCACGAGATTGGAGTTTACACGACAAATGAGCCAATCAGAGGGCGTTAAGCTCAACGAACCCACCAATCCCAAGCGCGTATTTCAAACGTTATGACCAATCAGCACGCGCCAAATGCGATCCTGCGATGAAACGACTGGCGGGTTCGAAAGCTATCCCCGAGATACAATCTAGCGGACATTGGCAGCAGCCATTGTGCGACTTTTGTTCATGTAAGAAGCCAATTGTCTTGACGTAAACGCTACGATCGTTCTGCTTGCAAGCTCTCCAGTGAGAGATGACGTACTAGTACCACGACGCTTGCTTTGTACAGCTTCCAGTAGCCCAGTCCAACTCAATCCTCCCGTTTAAGTCTTTATATTTGAGGTGGTCAGTAGCTACATCTGTCAGTGACGACTGCATATGCGCCTCACCGATGCACGCGCTGTGCAAGCAACTTCCCAGTATTCGCAAACCTGCGAGTAGACTGGTCCAGAGCCGCAACTGCTCCAAAACCGCACACTCTTCTAGAATATATGTCTGTACCTTTAAAAGATACGAGCGCACGGGATAGCGAATTTTATGTTTATTCGCTCCTGCTATTCGCTTAAGCTGTCACTCTTTGAGATATCCAAGGGGAGGCAGCCAACGTTGCACGCTACAATGTAGAACGAAGGGCGCTTGTTTAGTCAACATAAGTATCCCCAATGGTGCTGTAATTGGCCGCCCTCAGCTTCGCAGCTGGCACTGTAGAAGCCGACTGTCGAGAGGTGGTTGTGCAAGCTCTCTAGCATCTTCAACAGCGTTGCCGTGCAAAGCTGTTTCGCCTCATTTTCCAAAACGTTGACAAGCCCCGAGTCGTTTACCAAGCAACAGCTCACGACCTCCGCGACAGCGATGCAAGAGCAACTCGAGGCAGTCGAGAAGGCAGGACGCGACAAGGCGGCTGCGACTGCCCGCGCTGCTCAAGACCGCCGAAATGAGATCGCTGCTCTACATCGCAGCCGCGACCAAGATGTCCAGGCCGCTCGGTCGGCCGGGGACCTCGTCGGCGCCAAGGTTCTTCCGTGTCGCACGCCGAAGGTCGTTTCGCTTGGTCGCGTGCAGCGCAGCAGAGCGTTCTTCCAGTCATGATGGCGCCGCCAACGTCGCTCTTCTTGAGCAGTGCCTCAAGGGCAAGATTTACATGACGATCAGCCCACGCTCCGAGATTGGCGCGGACGACGATTCCGACGCCGACGAGCTTCCTCCCGCTCCTCCGTCGGCTCCCGCGCGCGTCGAGCCTCCTGCTGGTGCTCTCGGTCTCGGACGTGGTGGTGGTTCTGGTGCTCTTGGTCGCGGTGGTGCTCTCGGTCGTGGTGGCGGTTCTGGCCGCGGTGCTTCCAACGGCCCAGCACACGGTGGTCGCGTCCCCGAGACGCCTTCCAGCGGCACGAAGAGACCCCGCAGCGACGACGACGATCGCCTCGGTGGTCCTGTCACTCCAGTCTCTGCCGCCGACAGCACCCGTCGCAGTGCGATCACCGACGCCTCGGCGGCGCAGTTTAGCTGCGCGCTCTGGGACGTTTTTGTTGACGTGCGCCAGGACTACCTGATCCTCCCCGATGTGGTCTCGGCGCCGGTGCTTTGCCTTCGCTCCATCAAGAAGCACCAAAAGCTCGCCAAGTCCATCTGGGTCGACCACGGGCAAGCGATGCTGGAGCGTATCCTCTTCATCGAGTCGCCCGAGGTCCTTGCGCGCAAGGCTGCGCTCGAGGCCGTCATCGCTCATTTGCTCATCGACCTTCAAGGCCTCCGGATGAAAAAGTTCGTCCCGGCCAACACGCACAAGTTCCTTGCGTACCCGCCTTCGGACTTCCTCGCATAATGTCGTCGACCAGTCGACGACATCTCACATCAAGTACAACGCCAACTTCTGCACCCTACTCCAGATGATGGCCGCCATCCCCTCTAGTTGCAGTCGACTAACTCGAGTAAATATTAAGGGTTTTCGGCACACTTCTTCTTTATACATGAAACAATTGCGTCGCGGGTCGCACCGGCATCATCCCAACCAACAGTTCAGGCGATAGATGCATTATGACGTTAGGCGGCAGATGGCTGCGGCCACGCAGGCCGCCCCGCCCATGGCAGCAAAGGTGCCTCCAAAGGTCTCGATCGCGTAGGGTAATTGCATCTGGAGCCGCCCGCATGCGTACGTCTTGGTGTGCTCGGCGCCCGTAAACTACAGTTTTCCCATTGCAAAAGACCATCGGAACGCAATTGTCAACTACCGTGTAGACACGTAGCAGTGCCGCGCTCGTCGCCACGAGGGTCGTCATCAAGCCCCACGCAGAGAGAGCTTGGTGTACATGGAGGAGCGAGTGGCTCGCGTGCAACAACACGAGCGGGACGAGGCCAAGGACGAGGCCACCAGCGCATGTCATCAGCCCTACACGCACTCTAGACGACACGTACAATCAGCATCATGAGGACGCACCGACGAAGCGCGAGCTAATGACGGTGCTTGGCGGCAAGAGACTCAGCTCCTCGATCATCATTATGTCGACGAAGAAGTGTTCGTATTTCGACATGAGATCGATGACCGCGGTCGCGTCCGGGATGGACATGCCTTTGGCGGCGTAGAGCTGGACCATCTCCTCCTTCTCGCCTTCGGGAAAGTTGTCGAGCTCCCTACATGCCGCTGATCACATGCCCTATTGTCGCAGCCGCTACCACATCTCGCGGCGCCGCTCGCGCTCGTACTCGAAGCGCTCCTCTTCCGTGCGGCGGTAAGCTAGCACGCCCGTAAAGAGCGCAATCGCGACTGCGACCGCCAGCGCCTACGCCATTTGTCGACTCATTGAATCGAGTCGCTTTGTACCGGTCCGAGCAAGCGCTGCGTCGGCGCGTCGGCGGTGGCGGCGGTCAGCGCCGTGAGGAAGAGCAGGTTGCAGCCGAGCG